TTTACATACCCATTCCACATTTGAAAATAAAATAAAACTGGAGTGAGGCAAGTTTGGTAAGTAGGAAACGTGATCTAACGTGGTGATCAAATCACCCTAAATTTTGTTAAAACGAAAATTTCAGAATCTCAATTTTAATACTTATTAGACAGATGACAAAAACTACAAATCCTAACTATTGCAAATACAGGCGACTGTGATAAAACAGACCCAATGCAATGAGTGACTGAAACCATAGCAATTATTCATCAACATCCGAAGCTAAGCTTGGTGGTTTAACTCATGCGTTTATCGGATAGACAACGTCGGAGGACTTTATTCTTCTTGTAGTAAAACTCTGAGCTCTTCTCTAATCAGCTTTAAAAAGCCACACAAAGGGTGGATACTTTCAAGCTTAAAAAATGAGACATCCGTTCCGTACAAAATTATCTCTAGCGTAATTTTTTCCCACAGTGATCCCAGATATGGATAGAAACTATCATCACACACACAGTGATCTTATGCTTTGCCATAAAGGAAACTTAAACTTGTGTGTGTGGGTGTGTATATCCAGATCAGCAAACATGCGAAAAATCGCTAGCAATCAAAAAGCATTTAGCAAAAGTGCAAATAGAAAAAAGAATAATGAAAGAAGCAGAGAAGAAAACTGTTTGCTTCTTGTATACCACATACTACTAACACTACTACTAATAATAATAAAACTTAAACCTACCGATCCAATATGGAATCTATACGGTGTATAAAAAGGATAAACTTTGAGCGTGAGTTAAAATGATTATTGTGAAATTAGAAAACAAAAAAAACAGAAAGCAAAATAATTTTAACTAAACAAGTGAAAAAGGTTTGATGAGTTAAATGGGATCACCGTATTCATGATTATGATAATGATTTTAAACTTAAAACAATAAAGAAAATTTTAATAGCTTAGATCACGAGTTCATTGAAGCTAGACCATCATGGAAAACTGTGAAGCACTAGACGGCCGTTTCGTCTTATTGTGGGACTCTCCAACAGTGGGCATCCACGATCATGATCTCACAAGATCCGAACTCGACCGCTTCACTTATCTTGGAAGTCTCATCAGCCCTTGTGGTTTAGTGTGTGACGAAATCTCAGCACGGATGCAGAAGGCTCGACTAGCTTTTACCAACTTGCGTCATTTATGGCGTAGGCGAGATATCCGTCTATCAACCAAAGGGCGTGTTTACTGCGCAGCAGTTCGTTTCGTCCTACTTAATGGCAGTGAAACATGGCCGGTAAGAGTAGAGGATATCCGTAGGTTACTAGTATTCGATCATAGGTGTCTTCGAAACATTGCTCGTATATCATGGGACCATCGAGTAAGTAACACAGTTGCTAAGAAACGGGTACTAGGTAAGGATGGCAAATCAATTGATGAAGTAGTGAAACTTCATCAGTTGAGATGGCTGGACACGTGTTACGTATGCCCAACCACTGACTTCCTCGATGTGCGATGTTCAGTGGTATAGGAGTAGGTTGGAAGAAAGCTAGGGGCGGCCAAACCAAAACATGGCACAAGTCCATGAAGTCACTGACAAGTGAACTGAGTCGTGTTGGTAGGTGTAGACTACCTGGTTGGGAACCGCGAGATGACAGCAACCGATGGTTAGAGACCCTGAATGACATGGCTCAAAATCGTTTGCAATGGCGCAGGTGCATCCACTCTCTGTGTTCTCCGAAATTCTAATCTTCTGAATTCTTCATGTCCCTTTTTTCCTCTTTCCAAATTTATTTCACTGGATTACACTTCTTGAGTAACATCTTCAAAACCTAATCTTTCCGATTACTGCTTATACTCTTACTACCTCTACCACTACGGGATTTGAATCGACAACTGCATCTCTGTGCTTATGTGGTGTGGCAACTCGAACTGATGTACGTACGTACGAAGTTCTACGTTGTTACTGACTGACTGACTGACTGAACTCAGAACCTATCAGTCTCGCGTGTGGGCGCTTAACCTCTAGACAACTGAACTGGTCGGCATCCAACGGTGTTAATGTCTAACTTCAATTAATCCAAGAAATTGAGTGACAAATCCACCATTATCATCAGTGAGATACTATCTCACAACAGATTTTGTTGAACTCCACTGGTCACTGATTCTCAATAGAACTTCAGGAAATGCCTCTTGAAGCTAGTCACTAGTGAGTATATGTTGATTAATATCGGAAGGGGCTTTGTAGATATTATAGTAATTTTAATAGTTGAGATCATGATGTGTCGCTCAAGTTCGTGGATTAGTTGAAGTTAGACATTGACACCGTTGGATGCCGACTCAGTGGTCTAGAAGTTAAGTGCTCGTACGCGAGACTGATCGTTCCTGTGTTCGAATCTTGCGAGGCGGGATCGTGGATGCGCATGGTTGAAAATCGTTTGCGATGACTCAGATGCATCTATTCTTTGTCTTCCCTGAATTTTGAGCTTCTGAACTCCTTATAATCATTTTTCGTGGTATATTTCAGTAATTTATACTTTCTTAAATCGTATATTTGATGTCTAATCTAATTATTCTATTACTACCTCTATTATTCTGTGTTTTAGCCTAACAACTTCATCTCTCTGTGCTATTGAGGTATGGAAACTTAAACCAGTGTACAAACATACAAGTTCTATGTTGTGACTGACTGAATGATGTTGGTAGATGTATTTAACATCAGCACAGTGAGATAAAATCGACAGGGAGAATAGCAACAGAGTCAAAATAATGCACATGCATACCAGGTTCTACCTTGCGACTGACTGATCTTTAGATTCAGTATAGCCTCAAACATTAACAATTAAACACCACCACCCGCCTACATACGCTCTTAATATTGAATACAAAAATGAGATGTAAAAGCCAAAATTTACCTTTTAGCAAGTTCACTATTTATTTTAACACATAGATATTGGTACAAGGAGGCACCAAATACATATGCGCCACATAAATCATTCGATTTATGTGAGGGCTGGGATACAACCCGGGTGCCCAGACCGAAGCAGGTGGTTTTTTTAGGGGACCACAACCCGAGCGTTTGACCTAAAGGTCTGACCCACAAGGCAGTGGAGCATCGTAAGAAGATGCAGTCCCATGGTAGCCGGTGACCAACGATTGGTTCATACGCCATTTGTTCCTTCAGGATACTGGAGCCCATGTGCACCATTGGTTTGGAATCCGGTTAATGCGCCGGACATTCGCTTTTCATCCTCTCAATTTCGTAAACAACACCCCCGCCACGAGAAGGCAGTGAGTAGGACTTCCCTGGCAGAGACTGTATACACGTGGCCGTGTGAGAGCATTTCGAGAGGGAGAGCGGGCCCACCCCATTCTCGGCCATACCAAGGCATTTGGGAGCAGCTACAACATGACTATTGTAAAACACATTTTGAAGCATCAGACTATATACATGTATAGTATACATCACCATTTCTCTCATTAATAACAACTCTATGAATAGAAGATTTATAAAGAATGCCATAAGTATTCTGTATACAATGCCAGAGTATATACATGTCAACTAATGCCTTCCAAACAAAAATAACCATAATCATTCATGATTTTTTTTGAAAATTATAAGAAGTTTCATTCTTAAGGTTATTCAACTGAAAGATTATTTTACTGACAACCTGAAACGAGTACCTAATTTATTATTGATTGTATACACAATCACGTACTTTGTTTACATTAGCCCATTTATTATTTTGATAAAGGTTTTCTTCTCTGAGTTGGACGATTTGGTCGTAGAATTTTCATCGTTCCACAATCATCATCCCATCGCTCCATGATCATACCATCCACCTCAGAGAAAAAAAGCTCCATCAAAATCATTCACCTGATCTACAAATCTTCTCCACCATCCCATTTATTATGAAAGTTTTATATCTAAATATTATTTGGTAAGTTTTTCAATCGATAAACAATATTTCGAAGATCAACTGAAATGTAACTTTAGTTTACACAGTTATACTTTCGTTCTTTGATAACAATCGTACAGAGGTTAGTTCTGGTGACTTAGTTTCAAACTTAATCCAAGTTCATATTACATACAAAGGGGAATTTTAGAATAACGAAAATGTAATATTAAACAGTCAAGCAAACTCAGTTCCAAAGTGATAAACTGAATAATGATGTAAAAAAAGAAATATCCATTTGTTCTAATATTGAACTTACTGGTTAATTGAAAAGGATAGCCAATAACCGGTGTAGTATACACTGGTTCTACAGCGTTTTCACCATTCTTAATATGGTTATATTTTCCCATATTAGTAGGAGTATTATTACTATCAAATATATCACTGATAGAATTATGAGTGGTATTGTTAATTTCGCTTATAGTTCCATTTCTTTCATCCATAACAAGTGGGGTAGTAGATAATGATAAAGATAACTGAGGTACTGGTCGAAGAATATTCGATGAATGTATTGGAAATAAACTTGAATAATTATTAATCATTAATTCGACAGCAGTTGAAGCGAATTTTGTTGACATAATCGCAGCGACAGATTCTTCACGTGAACGAAACAATGATGGTGCGAATACAATGCCTAGATTACTTGGATTCATGTGATTCAATTGACTATAGGCAGCAACGCTATATATTAGAATAAATGTGTATATTTGTAAGTGTTTACAACAGAAAACAGAAGAAAATTAGGGATTAAATTTATACAAATATATTTCAGAGAACAAAACTGCATATATACAGTGAAGATTTGCCATGCTTTGCACGTTCTCATAAATCTGAATAGGTTATGAGTTCCGTGTAACTTTTGTGTGGTACCTACTAATATTTCACTTAAGACTTTGAACAAGTAGGATCAAATGACTGACTGGTAGAGATGAGCTCTATGTTAATGTGCCATATAAGAAAGGATTAGTATGACGACAAGAATAGATGAACACTAGAATCACAAGAATAAGAAGAACATAAATTTTGTTACTCCTAGTAACTTGTGTCTCGCTGAATCTCAGGATTAGTTAAAAAAATTAAGATCTACTTACTTACTTACGCCTGTTACTCCTCGTGAAGGAGCATAGGCCGCTCATCAGCATTCTCCATACAATCCTGTCCTGGGCAATCCTTTCTACCTCCTTCCAGTTGTAACTCATCGTTTTCATATCTGCTTCTATTATACGACGCAATGTGTTCTTTGGCCTTCCTCTTTTTCGCTTCCCTTCAGGATTCCAAGTTGGGGCTTGCCTCGTGATGCAGTTTGACGATTTGCGTAATGTATGTCCTATCCATTTCCATCGTCATTTCCTAATTTCTTCTTCAGCTGGAAGTTGGTTTGTTCTCTCCCACAGAAGGCTATTGCTGATGGTATCAGGCCAATGGATGTTGAGTATCTTGCGTAGACAGCTATTTATAAATACTTGTACTTTCTTGATTGTGGTTGTTGTAGTTCTCCAAGTTTCAGCTCCATACAGTAGAACTGCCTTGACGTTCGTATTGAAGATTCTCACTTTGATATTGGTTGAAAGTTGTTTTGAGTTTTATATATATTCTTCAATTGTAGAAGAGCGGCCCTTGCTTTACCTTTTCTCGCCTTTACGTCTGCATCTGAACCTCCTTGTTGATCGATGATGCTTCCCAGGCATGTGAAGGACTCTACATCTTCCAGAGTTTCGCCATCAAGTGTGGTTGGATTGCTGTTCTCCGCTTTGAATTTGAGGACCTTGGTTTTCCCATTGTGTATGTTGAGGCCTACTGATGCAGAAACTGCTGCTACACTGGCTGTCTTCATCTGCATCTGTTCGTGTGTACGTGATAGGAGGGCTAGGTCATCTGCGAAGTCCAAATCGTCTAATTGGTTCTGAGCTGTCCATTGTATTCCGTGTTTTCCTTCAGATGTTGAGGTCTTCATAATCCAGTCGACCACCAGAAGAAAGAGGAAGGGAGAGAGTAAACAGCCTTGTCTGACTCCAGTCCTTACTTGAAATGCATCTGTCAGCTGTCCTCCATGCACTACTTTGGACTGTAGTCCGTCGTATGAGTTCCGGATTATATTGACAATCTTCTCAGGAACTCCGTAATGTCGAAGAAGTTTCCATAATGTCCTCCTATCTACACTGTCGAATGCCTTTTCATAATCAATGAAGTTGATGTACAGTGACGAGTTCCACTCAACTGATTGTTCGACGATGATCCGTAGTGTTGCAATTTGGTCTGTGCACGACCGATCCTTTCGGAATCCAGCTTGTTGATCTCGAAGTTGGGCGTCTACTGCATCCTTCATCCGGTTCAGCAACAATCTGTTGAAGACTTTCCCTGGTATTGACAGTAGTGTAATGCCTCTGTAGTTTTCACATTTGCTCAGATCTCTTTTCTTTGGAATCTTGATGAGGTGTCCTTCTTTCCAGTCCATTGGCACTTGTTCCTTCTCCCAAATCTTTTTGAATAGAAGACAAAGCATGCTTGTGGTTGCTTCGATGTCTGATTTCAGTGCTTCAGCTGGTATGTTGTCGGATCCTGCTGCTTTCCCGTTCTTGATTTGTCTGACGGCCATTCTAATTTCTTCCGTAGTTGATGGATTGACATCTATAGGAAGATATGTGTGTGCTGTCTCGATGTCCGGTGGATTCATTGGAGCCGGCCAATTCAGGAGTTCCTCGAAGTATTCTACCCATCTGTTACGCTGTTGTTGAATTTCGGTGATTTTCCTGCCTTCTTTGTCTTTGACCGACCTAAGACAGACTAAATTCACCTGCACCATTGCGTATGATTCTAAACCACGTTACACAAAGTCTACGATTATTTCGTGAGATAATCGTGAAGACCCCAACCAGATAGCATGCATTTATTAGCATGACTCATGACAATGATCAATGACTTCGTGCAGTAAAGCCATACCTTGGTTTAACCGGACATAGCTCCGTTCCAATCTAACTCAATATCAGTAAGAATCGCTCATCGAGGTAGGAGGTGGTTAGGTATATGCAACACATTTCCTAACAAAACTAGTCGAAAAAGATTTACAACTTCACTAACCGAATTGTCATTTTTCACCAATACCCTATATCTAACCTATGCATTGCTTACTCAGTGGTCAATGCGATAGTTATATATTAAACATATTTTAGTGAATAGCTCATCATCAGGAAAAATTCAGAAAAGGTTATTTTACACGAATTCATAAATGGAGGAGGCACCAAGTACATATGCGCCACACAAATCTCACTCGATATGTGTGAGGGCTGTGATACTGCCCGGGTGCCTAAATCGAAGCAGATGGTTTTCTTAGGTGCCCACTCCCCGAGCGTTCGACTTGAAAGTCTGATCCACAAGGCAGTGGGGCATCGTAAGGAGATACAGTCCCATGGAAGCCGGTGACCAACGATTGATTCATACGCCATTTGGTCCCGCAGGATACTGGAGCCCATGTGCACCATTGATTTGGTTTGGGATTCGGTTAAAGCGCTGGACACTCGCTTTTTGTCCTCTCATTTTCGTAAACAACACCCCCACCACGAAAAGGCAGTGAGTTCAAAAATTAAACAAAGGAATAGTTTGATAATAGAATAATGATATATTTGTAACATCTCAGTGTGTTGAAATTTGAATTTTTGACATTTCGTGACTTGACGGAAACCACTTCAACAGAGTGTCTTCGACTGTTGTTAGTTTATTTATGCCCCATAATGAGTCACTTATTTTCTCCAGCACCATTAAACCACCTATTGACTCAGATAAGTGAATGATACATTTATTACCATTAAAAAAAAACTAATCCAGATATCAAATTAACTTTGGAAAAGGAGTATGAACATAGTGAAGTACCGTACTTGAATCATTTAGTTAGACGGAATCCTGATGAAAACTTAAACTTAACCATATACAGAAAACCAACACATTCAAACAGATATATCGATTTATATTCTGCACATTTATTCTAAGAGAAAAGTTTCCTGACTCTGAATCTGTTCAGAAAAGCTACGTCAGAAACAGATAAGCAAAGAGAAAAAAAATATAATAAGCAGCTTACGATTTGTCTTTAAATAACACAGTAGTTTTGTTTCACAGCCAAGGTATGACTGGGCAATCGCAAAGTAATTTGAGAATATACAGAATTAAACCTTACTACCAAACAATTAACACTCTTCGAAATGCACTATTTTGAAATCAAGGGAAAAATCCCATTTACATCTAATCGGCATTGAGTACACAGACTAGGTTGTATTGATTTCAATACATTATGTAATAGAGAGTCTTTTCGACGACTAATGCCAAGGAACACTTAAGGAACCACAAAATATTCCTGCAGAATTGGAGAATCTACAAATCAAATCTGCAATAGCGATAAATGGTATGTTCGATAACCACCAAATCTATATAAGGTATTAAAATGATTCAAAAAGGTTTAGTCAACTATAAAGAAAGGCGAATAGCTGAAACATCCCTCTTCTTCAAAGGAAAACAAGGCCTGACTATTCATCCAACATGGATTATTTATCCAAAAAACCACAGTTAGCTCTATTCATTTCTCAAACAGTCTGCACACAAATCTCAGCACCTGCTGGGATCATCGGGTAAGTAATAGTGAGGTTAAACTCAGGATATTAGAGAGTGACAGCGAATCAGTTGATGACGTTGTAAATCTCCGTCGACTGAGATGGTTGGGCCACGTGTTACGTATGTCTGAACATCGATTACCACGACGCGCAATGCTGAATAGTGTTGGGCATGGTTGGAATAAAGTTAGGAGTGACCGAACTGCTTGAAGTCACTAACTTCTAGTCTTATAAATATTGGTAGATACAGACTAATTGGTTGGGGTCCGTGCGATTATAGTAACCAATGGTTGGAGACTGGATGAAATGGGTCAGAATCGATCAGAATGGCGTAGGTGTATGTACTCTCTGTCTTCCCTTAAACCGTGATATTAAAATTAATGTTTACCTTTATTTCTATGAATTAACTCTTTCTCCTTGTATCATATCCTCACACACAATCTTTCTTTTATATATTACCACCATTGAAGTAACTACTTCTATGAATTCAGTGTTCATCTTGTTGTGCTAATGAGGTGGTGCAACTTGGACCGATGCATATGTGTACGGTCCTGAGTTGTAGATGACTGACGACAAATCATTTTTTACCTTTCATACCCACACAGATTTACTTTGACCATTATAAGCAAAGTTGGATAGTGGTTAGCAGCGATAATGTGATGACGTTTGAAGCGAACAGTACTGGGTTCGAGTCCCAGATACATCCAGATGATGAGTTCTAAATAGAATAAAACGCGCGTTCTGGATTCGACTGCTAGCCAATATCCATCATTACTTATGAAGCTTGTGAATTAAGGCACTATCGAAGCCATACACACAGTATGCACATATGCCAATAAGAGACTGATCAATTGCAGTCTTAAACATCCATGGAAAGATTCAAGTAAAACACTACCAAGTGAATTTAAACTATAGTAATAATACCTATAAAAGAAAAACAACAAAGGAGATATAACAATTAACAAACCTTGATAAATGCCTAATCAGTAAGTCTAAAGTACGTTGATTTTCTGGTGGTAACAATTTTAATAATGCACTAAGCTCTGTTAATCGATAAGCATTATCTCGTTCTAAAATTGAGAAAACAATCAGTAACAACAAGTAGAACAATCCAATAAATAAACACAATACACAAATTCATTAATTAATTGAATAGGCAATGAATATTCAATGTAAATCGTATACACTTTAAATTTCAGTTAGACTTCAATGATGTAAATGTTAGTGATATGGTAGAATCAAGGCAGGAAAATAGAGAAAGGGTTCAAAACTGTAACTTATAGGTTGAAAGTTGGACATTTTAACTAATATTAGTCCAAAACGCCATTGAATACATATTGCGAACTTGTTATTAACTATTATATACATTAACAGGAATATGATTGTCGACAGCCGTTTCGTCCTATTCTTGGACTCCTCCTCAGCAGTGCGCATCCACGATCCTGCCCACCCCGTGAGATTCGAACCCAGGACCTATCAGTTTCGCGCGTCGTCTAGTGCTTCCAGATTTTCCATGATGGTCAAGCTTTAAGAGACTCATGATCTCAATCATTGTAATATCTATAACCCTTTTAATTTTTACAGATAAATTAATGGTAATGAAGATATATTTTACTAGATATTCTTTTCAACAGAGATCGATTTGTGAATGTGTACATTGAACAAGTAACTAAAATGTTAGAAACCAAAGTGAGAAATGGTATAGATGATGGATGAGTAGTTGAGCATTTTTTAAAAAGTCAAATCAATTCGAATACAATAAAACAAACTAAATAACACCATCATTTGAATTAAAAATTTAATTAAATCAGGTGAAAAAATATATTCCCTTCAACAATATGTAACACTACAGGTGAACTCAGTCTTGATTGTGATGTGTACAGATTTTTCCAATTTCACTATTGAGAAGACAAGGTCTATGATTCACCAAAAGCCCAAACAACACGTAAGCGATTGTGTCACATCTCATTGTGTCTATCAATTTACATGTATGCATGGAAACATGTACACAGGAAGGAGCAATCGTGATTTGCAATTAAGGGTGGGTGAACATATACCAAAATGGTTGTAGAATCAGATGAATTCCAATGGTCAAATAAAATCACAGGATAGACGGACATCATCCTCAATTGCGAAACATTTGATTGAGACTGATCATAAGGTTGACATCAAGTCAGAATTTGTAGGACTCATACCAAGGTTTATTGAAGCCTTGGCGATACGGAAACTAAAATCCCCTTTATGAGTTCAAAAACAATTTATCTTTACCCTTAACCTACCCTGGTAATACTGATTTAGTCCAGAGTGATTATCACTTTGTTTTTGTGTACCTTATTATTCGTTTTCTTTGTTACGACTTACCTTTAACATGTCTAGTTAACCTTTTTAATGTCTTAACAAGTATATGTGTGATCAGATCGTTTGAAATGTATTGCTCAAATATACCACATAATTCTGATAAACTCCGTCTTGTCATAGAATTATTGAAATTTCACATTACAACAATTCAAACGAGATCCAATATTAAAATACTATAATAGAACAAGAATATAGTTGTTGAATGTTTACTGTGGTGGAGAAGATTTGTAGCTCAGGTGGATGACTTGGTCATGGAGCTTTCGTCGTTATTCTAAACGACATCATCAGCACAAACTTCAGACAGGATTGAACTGTTCGGATTTCTCCACATATGACTCACAGTTTTTCCTGTAGACCTCGATCTTGAATGATTACTGTTGACCTTTAACCTGTCATTGTTTACTTCATTTTGATTGTATCTTTCAATGATCGACCAATCAGAAAATTATGGTCAACTATAAGACCAAGAGACAAATCAATAATGGGAGATACAATCAAAAAAAGGAAGTACACAATGATAGGTTAAAGGTCAGCAATAACCAATCAAGATCGACGTCTACAGGACAAGCTGAGAGTCATATGTGGAGAAATTCGAACACTTCAATTCTATCTGAAGTTTGTGCTGATGATGTCGTTCAGGAGAACGATGAAAGCTCCACGACCAAACCATCCAGCTCAGAGAACAAAACTCCACCAGAATGTTTAGTTATGATTTTTTTCCTATGAAATACATTGTAATGTCAAGCCCACAAGGGTTATTCTAGCTCCCGTAACTACCGATTTACTCCCTCTTTTCAAGTCACATTTTGACCTTGTTAATAATTGGTTTATTAACCTTTACTGTTTTCATATGAGCGTATGCATGTGCACTGCACATCCTACTCATCAAACATCTGTCTAATTATAAATACCAAGTCATACCTAATCAACAAGAATGGGCTTACTCGCCCCCTCGGCTCAGCTTCGCTTTTCTACCCCTTATTCTGAATGTCTAGCTTCTTGGTACGGCCGTCACACAAACGGGTTTAGCCTAGGCAGTATACGGAGTTAAATGGAAGATTTATGTTCATAATATATTCATACGTTCGTCCAAATCGAAGTCAGATCACGGCACCACAAAAAAATTAGCAGCTTGCCCGTCACTAAAACAGAGATCGTTTTCAAACGACTTATATATATACAAATATATATTAACAACTTACTCATTGCAGACATGAAAGAATCATGTAATTGAAATGTCATAATTGGAGTTTCTAATTGTCGAATAAAACTTTTTAATGCACCAGTTAAAACGCATAATTCATAATTTGACAAAGTCGTCTTGGATATTCCTGAT